TCAGCCTGTGGGGCCCACGTCTCGAAATTCGACGAAACTCACAAGTTCAACCATACTAATTTCACTCAAATCCGACTCCAAATCGGTATTCAAACTTGAAAAATTTGTTTTGTGACATTAGAGAAATTTCCTTCTATTTCTCTTGAATATTCAATAATCTTACACCAAAAATGAAGATTAATTCATAGAATATAATCACAAGGGAGTTAAGAACACTTAACCCAAGTTGTGTGGAAAATTTCCTCTCCAAAATCGCCCAACCCGAGTTCCAAAATCCGAAAAATGGGTGAAAATGTCGAACCCTCGAATTTAAGGTTCTGCCCCAGCAATTTCCGCATCTGCGGACAAGATTTGCGCACATGCGCCTCCGCTTGTGCGAGCAAGATGTCGCATTTGCGGACTCCACTCGCCTGCCCAGTTTCTGCTTCTGCGCGCATCCGTCCGCATATGCGCTCACGCAAGTGCGAAATTTTCCCTCGCACTTGCGACCAATGCCTCACAGCCCTCTGCCCGCATCTGCGCTCCTTCTCGCGTAGGTGCGATTCCGTGCCTGCGAAGCATCTTCCGCACCTGCGTACCTCGCTTCAGCGCACCCCCTACTCGCACCTGCGACTACTTTTCCGCAGGTGCGATTACACCAGAAGGCTTCAGTTCCAGCAGTCTTCTAAATTCAAAAATCAATCCGTTAACCATCCGAAACTCACCTGAGGCCCTCGGGTCCCCGTCTGAATATACCAACAAGTTCCATAACATAACACGGACCTACTCGAGGCCTCAAATCATACCTAACAACCTCAAAAATACGAACTACACACGGATTCAAGCCTAATAAATTTCTAAATTCCCAAATTCTACAAACGATGCCGAAACCTATCAAATCACGTCCGATTGACCTCAAATTTTGCACACAAGTCACATTTCACATTACTGACCTATTCAAATTTCCAGAACTGAATTCCGACCCTAATATCAAAAGTCAAATCTCCGGTCAAACTTCCCAAATATTTAACTTTCGGTAATTCAAGCCAAATTCTACTACAGACCTCCAAATAATTTTTCGGACACGCTCCTAAGTCTAAAATCACCATACAGAGCTATTGGAATTATCAAAATTCGAATCTGAGATTATTTACACATAAGTCTGCATCCGGTCACTATTTTAACTTAAGCTTTAAACCTTGGAACTAAGTGTTCCAATTCCTTCAAAAACCTCACTGGACCCGAACCAATTATCCCGACAATTCACAGAATAACTGTAAAGTATAATTTGAGAAGTAAATGGGGAAACGGGGTTGTAATACTCAAAATGACCGGCCGGGTCGTTACAAAGGCGAGGCGTTTTACATATGTCTCAGTGAGGCGTAATCCCCGAGGCACGGGGCGTAAGCCCCATAGGTATTTAATTTTTAATATTTTATAAAATAATATAANATATATTATACGCTACTTATAGAAGCACAAGTAACTTGAGTCAAAAAGAATAAAGTTTTTTACACGGAGGAACAAAAAGGATGACTAACCTGCAATTTGAACTTTGAACTTGCTGCTATGAAGGAGAACAGAGTTCTATTTGTATTTGTAAAAAATAAAAACTGAATATTCATTGCTTTTGGGGAGATATTAGCAGACTAGCGGACAAGATAAAAAATTAAAAAAGACCATGAATTAGGGCTTCAATCAATAAAAAATATCTTGACTTTTAAATTTAATACATTTCAATTCCTTTTTAAAACTTTTAAGTAATTAACGAGATGACTTTTGAGAATTTGCTGGGCGTACGCCTCTTGAGACTTTCGCCCCACACCATCGCCTGTGGGGCATTTTTGGTGCGCCTCGTCCCGGGGCTCGCCTCGAAAACATCTTTTAAAATACTGATTCACCAACATCTGCTATGATTGGTTCAGAATTTGTTTCGGGTAATGATTGGTAGGGAGTTCCATCGACTCGCGAAGCATCAATATTGTTGCCTTTTTCACCCTATAATTCTACATTTTCAGTTGTATTTTCAACACGACTACTGCTAGGGTTAGGACTAAACACAGACGGAGAATCAAAAAATAATAAAAAATGAGAACCAGACATGGCTGAGGCAACTGATTCAGCAGCTACTTGTGTTGAAGAATGATGTTGTGCATGGCGCCACCATCTACACGCACAATGCTTCCGACCCATAGTGAAAAAAATAACCCGTATACATTGATTCACAAAAGTACAAAGAAAAACACAAAAATTCTATGATTTTGAAAACCCACTTTCACTAAAATGTACTTTCACATCCAAAAATTTCGCCCAGAAATTACTATTAGATGAAGAGATAGAACGAAATCTGAAGAAAAAAATTCAAAACTCGAATAACTAAATGCTGGGTGAAATATGGTTTCTCATGGTTTGGCTATGGAGGTTTTGAAATTAACTCTGTAGCGTTAAAGGACGAAAATAAATAAATGAGGCATTAAATGACTGTGGATATGGAAATCCGCTAATTGCGTGGGGTGCCGGGTGAAATAACTTGGTCGGGTATAGGAATCCGCTAATGGGTGGGCCGCATAAATAGTCTGGGCCGCATGGGTAGGAAAAGTAAATAATTTGGGCGTGAGTATTAAAGAGTAAATAGTTTGAGCTTAATAGGTATAAAGTGAGATTTTCTCTTCTTTAAACCATATTTAGTTTTCTACTATCAACTTATAATTTTAAATGTTTGTCAAATCTTAATTAACGGGAGCAATAAAAATAAAACAGAGAGAAAAAATACAAATAAAAATGTGAAACGAAAAACAAAGAGTAAGACATAGGGTAAAAAATTTCAACCATCATAATTTATTTTTGATTAACGATCTTAATGAATAATGACAAAAACTATTGGCAATAGCTATTGGCACAATGTCAATCTAAGTGACATGCTCTCCATATATCAAAATGCGAAGACATTAAGCGGCACACACTTATGGAGAATGTTGTATAATTTTTCAAGGGATAAGGGCCAAAAATACCCCTCTACTATGTGAAAAGGATCATTTATGTCCTCCGTTATACTTTCGGTCTACCATTGCCCCTGGCGTTATAAAACTGGTGCAAACATACCCTTTCTCCGTTAAGACCCTCCACCATGGCAAAACATCATCCCATATGGCCTGACATTTTGTAGAGGTGGACGCCAAGTGGAATGCCACCTCACTTCCCCCAATCCCAACACTAAATGAGTATCCTGTGTTATCAACATCATTCAGGATTACTCCGCTCGATCGAAAAGAGCAATCAAATTTATAAGCAATCAGTAAGGCTAAACAATCAGAATAAAAAATTATTTGACAATTATAGAATGGGACTACAATAATTAAGACAAGCTGAAACAACATTAAAAAAAACCATTTTTTTGCGTTCTTTTGTAACCAAAGAAATATCAATGGCTCTAAAAGCTTTACTTGAGAATTCGATTACTCACGTCCTTCATCACCAACACCACCTATTCAGCCCTCTGAGTCTAACTAATTTGGGGGGGGGGGGGGGGGATAAGTTGATGTATTTTATGAGTCTTCGAAGAAATAAATGCAACCGTCAAACAAGCAATTTCACCACAGAGAAAAGAAAATCGCTATTTCTGATGAATACTTCGAGCGTTAATCTTCTTGTAAATAAAAACAATTACTTGACAGATAGAACACAATTTTTATCAACGGATATACAATTCAATATCCCATAATAAACAACTGCCAAAAAGTTATCTTAACACACACATAAAAAAAAGAGAGGATAATTACACATGTAAAGCCAAAATGCATTATCAATGCCCAGAAATATTTTAAAGAGTAAATATATTGTCCATTCGTTAAGAAATTTAAATTAGTCAATTAGTCACGAATTAAGGTAACCCCATGAACTTTATTTACCGATACACTTAAATCATACAAATACTTTAAAGCAAAGAGAAAAAAAATCAGACCTTTCCGCCAAGGTCTCAACGTCGATGGCAACAGAATATATACTTTAGTTATAAGAATATGCCATTACACTCAGCTTATCTGTGTCTGGAGATGTGATGGAAGAAGAAGTGGGACGAGAGGGATAAAATGGGGCTGGGGAGGTGAGGTGAGGTGGCATGTCACTTGACGACCACTTCTGCACAATGTCATGCCACGTGGGATGGTGTTGGCCGTGGTGGAGGGTTTAATGGGGGAGAGTTATTTTTGCACCAATTTTCTAACGGGGCAATGGTAGACCGAAAGTATAACATAGGACATAAATAATCCTTTTCACATACTAGAGGGGTATTTTTGGCCCTTTTCTCATTTCAATTATTTCGATTTTATTGAATAAAAAAAATTATTATCAAATAAAAATTGAAGCATAACCACTTAGAGAAGAATCATAAAGGGTTATTCGGGGTTAGTATTTATCCAGTTGCCTCAAAAATTAGTTGTTTTAAAGATATAATACCTCTAAAAATCATTACTATATAGATGTACTTTGCATCATATGTTCGAATCATATTGAAACACCCTTGAGTGTTTGAGGATGCTGCATATGTTGTTCCTCCTATCTCGATCGCTTATTTTATCTTGCCTTTCAAGTTGAGATATTTCATTGATCTCGACTTATGTATCTTCCCTTAGGGCATACTTTTACAGTTCCAAATAATCTTCAAACTATATTTTATACATTGTAGAAATTAAGACATAAAAATAAAAACAAAACACATGAGATATCACAATGATTATCTCATTTTTGCCATTAATTTGAACAAAAAAAAATCCCTCTCACATCCAAAAGATAAAGGGATTTATTTTCTTCAAAAAGATTAAGACGGTTAATGGGATTTGTCTTAAAAAACCTCAATATACCTTCACACTACAAATTAAATGTAAATAGCAAATAAATAAGCTATAATAATCTTTATAGTTATAGACTAAAGAATTGAATATAATTAAATATGCTTAATTTATAATTTTCAGCCTAACAATCCACTTGTCAAGAGAAAGGCAAGTCAAACAACAGACACAAAAGGACCTTCATCAGCAATTGACACAAAGCAACAGAATTTATAACGTGCGCACAAAGCCGCAAAAGAAAACAAGAGCATATTCCTCTCCGTCTCCGGCCACACTCGCACTTCTTTCACTCTTTCCCTTTTACTTCAGCTTGTCGGTGAATTTTTCTCTTCAGGGTAAAACCCATAACCCAGTTTCCATTCAATCGAATTTTTTATTTAAATATTTGCTTGAAAAACTGTTATATGCAATTCAATTCCATCTACATTTCGCTCTCTCTATTTTTTGGAGAGCTTTAATTCTTCCATTGCTGAATTTGGTTCCTCACAGAATCGTTTGGTTGCTGCTACTGCTGCACAGGTACCATTTGGTTCACTAGGCTTTCTCCTTTTTTTTTGTGTGTGTGTTTTGGTTTTGTACTATTTATTACTTTCTTTCCCTTTTTTTTTTAGTTTAAAATTTTCCCTTTTTCTTTATATGCCTTTGTTGAATTAACTGCATAAAAAAAGGAAAAAGGAGGTATCTTGGTATTTCATGAGTGGTTGAATGGTTTTTGTACATTTTTTCCCCCTTGCAAGTGAAACTAGGTAATGTAATGAAATTGTAGTTGATTTTAAAACCAATTTAAAACCAATGGTGTCAAAGGGACTCATGAAATGTTTTTAAAGCGAAAAGCACAAAAAAGCGACAAGGTACATGAGCAGTAACAGAGCAAAATTTTTCACTAAGGGTGTCAAAATATAAAGAAGTAAATACACGAAGAGATCAAGGGGATTTAACATATAGTATATATGCATAATAGTAAAAAAGTTCACCTTATCTACACAGTGGAATTTTCCATCGACCCTTTCATAGAGTAGCTTCGACATTGTCCATGAGGCATGAAGCGGAAAAGCAAAAGTGAAGACATGCATCGTTGAAGTGAAGCGCACAATTTAATTAAAAAAATGAAACATATATGAATTTATTACTATAACAGTGTCAATCAAAACAACTGATTTCAGCATCCAATATACAATAATGTCAATATTAATGCAACTCATTAAAGTAGAGATTCAAATACTCGACCACTTTTTTTAGTTTGGTTTGGCATCGAATAATTGACCACCTCTTGTTGGGATGACTTTGCGCGTCATTTTATGAAGTGCACACTTTTCTGAAACACATGGCTTTGTCCATGAAGCAATAGACCCTGGTTTCACATTGATTCGCTGCTTTAAGCGATGAAATGGAGTCTTTTAATAACACTAGACTCAAGGAAAGTTTTTAAACTTGTTAGAGTATTAGGTTATGATATGAGCAGAAATGGAAAAGGAAGTGAAGGAAGTGAAATAGTGTTCAGAGTGAGAGACAGTTCTTCTTTTCGATGTCTGCTCCTTCAGAAAATAGGTTATTTCTTGATTGCTTCATTCTCTATACTTCTTCAGTTGATTGCTCCAAACTTGAGAAGTAACCCACTAAGAAATTTTGTGTGGTTTACCGATTGAATTAAAATACTGTGTCTATAATGTTTTTAATGAGATCCAATCCAACTTTTGATTTAATTGGCACAGTTGGTATACGATTCTTTATCCTTGGCTATCATCACTTTTCGTTCTATATTTATTGACCCTTTAACTCCTGAATGCTTGTTCGTTGTTTGGCTCAGCCACCAGAAGCTCTAACAAACTCCATCAACTGCAAGCAGTCTTCTAACTTTCTTGGCCTTCTCCTCTTTACCTCTTTAGAGAATCTCTCAACCCAAGTAAACACTCTGTTAAATGCTTGTTTCTTTCTCTGTTCCAGTAGCTAAAGATAGGAAAATCCGAAATGACTGGTATGTTGGTGATACAACTAGTCAATTAAAACAGGAGTATCTGGTGGTGGAAGTTTTATCTCGCCAATTTGATTTTCATGGACAGCTGGACTAGAGAATGAAAAAGGACAAAGGAAGATTGTGAAATCTTGTGGATAAATGTTCTAATTGTTCTTGAGAACTGAATACAACCTTATCTTTCCTACTTTTCAATGCATTCGTAGTATGAATGTTGTAAGAACCGTATTATTGAGCTGTCTCCATAAGTTGCCATAGTAATAGCGACCTACTTTTACTTCATCAAAAAAATTGCGACCTTCTTTATTCCCATTTTCCATTTAAATTGATGGATACAAGAAATTACATTCATTTATTCAATCCTTTTTTTTTCTCAACAAATACCCTTTGTCAATTTCGTCACATTCAATCAAATAGGTTATACATGTTACCACGATTTGGATAATGATTGTTCGCTATTCTTTTATCAGAAAATTCAAGGTTAATAAATGCTTTGTTTTGTGAAATAAGCATATGTCCTTGAAAGTTTGTTCTTTTTGAGAAAAGAAAAAGATAAGAATTCAATAGAGGAAAGATAAGGCTTCTTCAATCTGACCACTTGATTTAAAAAAAAAATAGGGTTTTCTTCTGACCTTGGTTGGGTTCAAAAATTTATTTCTAAGTGGACTGTGTAAAACTGTAATTCATTTAACAGAAGTGTTTCTCAATTTAACTATCACTAGATTGTAGTCAGCATGTTAATGATATTACTTTCCTTAAATTATGGGCATCCTTGCTGTCATGCTGTGACAAGGACTGGAATGCCTTTGATCATTGTATTTGAAAACCCAAGAATTGTTTGTATTAAATGATAATTTTATTAGCATCTTAATTCTTAGTTTGTAATGTTTGTTTATCTTTTGGGATGGCAATTGTGGTGGGAAGGGAGGAGAAGGGGGATGGAATCGGTATCAAAAGTGAAAGACTTACCATGCTAGCATCTCCACTGTTAATGCAGGACTTATTTTGGATTCATTTCTGATCTAGTCAAGTAATTTCACTTGCCGCTGCTTTATCAATGAATTATTCACTTAAATCAATTGCTGATATTTCTCTTGCTTTTTTCTCTTCCAATCACTATTGACACATGCCTGATGACCCATTTACTAATTCTTTTCTAGATCTCTTAAATGACCTTAAGAGTTAACTATAAGGAGAGGTGAATTTATAACCGATGCATGGATCCTGGATGAATTTTGGTGAAATGAATAGCCTTTTGTTATTAAGCTTGTCTGGATTCGATAAATGCTTTTTTCGCAATTTTTGGCGTTAAGATCTAGGTATTAATTATTTCTAGAGAAAACGACACACATCCACCTATATTTGCAAATTTCATTCAATGACACTGATTTTAAACAGGTGGCTGCGTGGTTTTAGTCTTTGAGAGAGAGAGACAGAGAGAGCGAGAGAAAGATGAAGACTATCTACTTGACAATCTAAAGCAACCATGCATTAGTCCTTGTCCTTGACATGGTTAAGATTGCACTCAAGGAAGTGAGATTTTCCTGAAGGTAAACCATGAATCACATTATTCTCTTGGGTTTCTTTTTTGTGAGGCGGAAATATGGAGATCTTTAATTTATCTACTAATTCTGGGAGATCTAGTTGCTTTTGTAGATAAATATTTGAAACAATTGTCAGAAAATTTTGATCTTGTTTATCTAAGCTTAAGGTGTAGATTTATGGTTGAATCTTATCTTTCCAAATCTTGTATGCTTGTTACGCTCACGCATGTTCTGAAAGTCAGAGTCTAGCAACAGCTTGTGCTCAGTTCTTCTAGTCCTCAATTTGTTTGACTTTGTGCAGGAGCACCGAGATGCATATAGATAAATCGGGTTAGTTTACCTGATAAAAAAAAAGAAGAAAAAGATATTTCGGGTTACTTGCCTTAGACCTTGCACCTTGCATCTATTGTACAGATTACATTTATGGTATCTGTTCATGATAGTTTATCATTTCTCTTAACTGCAAGTAACTCCTCTATCTATGCCTATGCTTGGGAAGCGTATATTTTACTAGGATAATAGTGGTCAGACATACTGTTACAATATTAGCTAGGAGTTGCAATTTTGGTCGTGAATCATGAAGTTCAACGGGACTATGTACAAAAGAAAGAAACTACCTACAAATAAAAATGCAACATATTTTCCCCTGTCATTTACTTTTAGGAGATCTCCTTTTACAACCTATGTGACGATAACTCCAGCAAATTTAAGTCAACAAAGCCACCCCAGTAAACTATTTACTTATCCTAAAAGGAAAAATAAAAAAATTATCCCAGTAAACTGAAGGAATAATATGCAACAGTAGACAAGTTTGTGCAGAAGTAAAATCATTAATTTAGCCTGGGACCGATGAGAAAGTCTCTGGTTTCAGTCCCCTAGGCCGATCACATCCTGAATACTTATAGGCCTATCTGAGCAATATACTGGTCAAATTTGATATATATGTAGGTAAAGCTGTTCAGATTGAGTAAAAAAGTGTTCAAAAGTCTACTTCACCAAAATCAGATGTAGCATCACTTTTGAAGTTGGTTTTATTGTGCTTGCTTTTTTCTATGATCTTCCAAGCGACTGCGCATTGCGTCTGCCTTCAACTGTGATAGTTGGAGAGGCTTGTCTTATCTTCAAATTCCGTCATATTAGGGATTCGTTTTAGCTTCTATTCGTAAAGAAACAGTTCTGCGTTTGTCCAGATTATTAATGGTTTGAGTTTGCGGCAATTACATTTCCTGAAGTGTAAAAGCTCGTGTTGGCATATTATCCTGAAGGCATGGATGGGGACTCCTTTTGGGTGGAAGAATTCACTGATCAGTTACCCTTTTCTTTAAAAAGGAAGAGAAATGTCAGAATCAAGAAACTAGAGTTTGTTGGATGGGGATCCAAACCGTTGATTGAATTCCTTGAATCAATTGGTAAAGATACAAGCAGAACATATTCTCAACAAGAGGTGACGGCTATTGTCACTGAATATGTAAATTCGAATAATCTTCTTAATCCGCAAAAGAAAAAGAGGGTTATGTGTGATGTGCGTCTTCATACCCTTTTCGGAAAGAAATCTATACCGCGGATAAAAATCTATGACTTGTTGGAAGTGCACTTCAGTGAGAACCATGATGAATCAGAGGATGAATCTCCTGACAATCTGGAAGAGGAGGATATTTTGATAGCATCTAAGGGAAGAAAAAGTACAGTGAGTCCAAAGAAAAAGGCTCCTGTTGTTTCTAAAAGCTGTTTTGCATCTGTTATTGCTGAAAACATTAAGCTTGTGTTCTTGAAGAGGAGCTTAGTTCGGGATCTTATGAAGACCCCTGAAAGTTACGGAGATAAAATTGTGGGTTGCTTTGTGAGGGTAAAATCTGACCCAAATGACTACTTCCAGAAAAACTCCCACCAGCTTCAGCAAGTTGAAGGTATATTGTCATTGTGCACTTCTGTTTTCTGAACATCATGTAGTGACTAAATAACATTGATGTTGCATTGATATTTCTCATAACAGAAGACTTCACTCCCTATAAAACAGACTTGGGCAAAATGTAAAGAAAACAACAATCCGGCCTTTAAATTATGCTTCCCTCCAAATATATCCATTTACACAGTCATAGTCCTTTGCAAAAGCATTTCTAGTTAAATTAGAAACAGGTGATTGCTGAGTAAAAGTTTTTCTTAAGATAAAAATTGGAAGTAGTAAGTACTCAGGAAATTCTTTTCTATACTTAAAACTATAGAAGGAAAAGGAAAAAGAAGCAAACTAAAAAAGAAAAGAAAAATATCACTATTCTACCATTCTGTAGAGAGACTGCACTTTTTTCATCACTGGACATGCTATGATATGTTTCTTCTATTTGTACTGGTTAACCAAAGGAAGCAAAAATTGTTAGTGGAACGGTAACTTTATAAAGTGAACGACACTTATGATTGAGAATACATGTCCTGACTTCTGTAGGTGTCTTGTCCAAGACAAAACAATTTTGCTTGCCTACCAAAAAGAAAATTTTTGTGTAATGTAATTGCTTGCTTCTGCTTATAGTTCTTTAATTTGTCTCAAGAAATACTTCTAAAAGAGGCTATCTCCTCTTATTGCCATTCTCTCTCCTCCCCTTTTCATTTTCATTGTTCCTTTGTGGAATTCCTAAGAATCTTTCCTTCAAGGGAAACAGAAACAATTAGCTACTCATACATAATACTATTTGCCTAATTACTGAATATGTGGCTTTCCTGAAACTTTGATGATCAAGACAATTTTGCATTATCTCTTAGACCGTGCATAGTTGAAGAGGACCATGATAAATGGAAAAGCGAATGTTTTCTTCTCCATTAAATCACATTCTCTGTCCTGCTTGTTTTTTCACTGTAAAGTTGAATGCTTCACAGGTGTAAGAAATTTTTCAGCAACCAGCGATGCTGCTTTTGAAGTTCACCTTCAACTTTCAAATCTGATGAAGGACATTCCCATATCTTCCTTATCTGATGATGATTTTTCTGAGGTAAGCAACTACTAACAGCATATATGGTCAATTATAGTGTTGGATGGCTTTGATCTGAAATTACTCCTTTCTCTGCCCTCTCTTTGGCGGATTATGGTAATTCTGAGACTTCCTGTGGAAAATTTTTTGAGTGGTTTTTAATATTCACAAAGACGAAAAAATGATTTCGAGAAATTGTATTCTATTCAAAGGTCAAGGCATGCACCCAAGGATGCTCAATTATTGACCAAAACTAGGAAATTACAAGCTTAAATATTATAATTATAATCATGATTATAATTATAGTTATTACATATTTTTAAAAGTTTGTTTATGTGAACCTTGAATACACCACCAGATGCTTGCCAATCATGGCTTCGGCAAATGGAAAATAAACCACCAAGCAGTGTTGTCTTTGCTAGGATTTGAACCCTGGTCTCTTATGATATTCGTCCCACTTTATTGACCGCTAAGCCACACCCTTGAGTGAAATATTTGCATTTTATTGATAAAGTTACTTCTGATTGTGTGTACAACCTAGGTGATTGGTGTGAGAAACTCCTTGTCACCTTTTTCTTTTTTTTTTCCCTTTGTGTGTTTTCCAATCTGTAACAAAACCACGATTTGAATTTGAACTTATCGGGGCAGTTTTGCTTGGTATTCATTACTATTTTCGCCCGTGATTACGTTCTTTTTATGAGATTAGATTTTTCTATTAAAGATATCTATCCATATTACTTATACAGTTATACCTAAATATACCATTTCGTTTTTCCTGAAAATATTTGTCATATTTCACTTCTTGAAAATTTAACATAATACTCTTTGACCAAGATTTATTGTAGATATTTTTGTAATTTTTGTTATTTTTAGATAGTTTCAAAATTTTTAAATGTTATTATTTAAAGGTGAATTAATCTATGTACAGTCTAACATACAAGCTGATATAAATTGACTCTGATAAGAACAACGAAACTAGCGCGGAAGGATTGTATAGAATGTATATTTATGTTGAGTGGGTTTATCCTTTTTTTTTTCTTTTTCTGATGAATAAGTTTCATTAAAGAGGCATCCAGAAGATACAAAAGTTTACAAAAGTAGTGTGTTGGCTCCAATATGTTGACTGGGTGTATCCTTTTGTACAACCAATCAATTATCATATTTGACTATATTTATACTGGACGCCATCTACCGCAACCCTTCACCTTTATCCATGGTTACATATATAGACATACGCACAAACACAAAAAGGTATAGGTCTAAAATTAATATATGTGCAAATGTAAAAGGCTTTTCTTGTGTATGACTACCTGCTGTATACAATTGTATTGCTGCTTCATTGGTCCAATATTTTTATTTTCCCCATCTTTTCTAAGAATTTTTATATTTTTGACAGGAGGAATGTGAGGAGTTGCATGAAAGAATTAAAGCTGGTTTGCTCAAGAAGCCTACTGTTGTAAGATATCTTAAGCCTCAGCAAGTTTTTCATTCTACAATTCTTAGATCTTTCACGGTGAAATAGAATGGAAGCAAATTTATTTGATTTAATAGATCTGACCATATTAGATTTCTCAAGGTTAACGTTTAGAACTGCTGGCTGCTGGTATTTTACCATATTTCATTAAATTCTCCTAAATTAAAGTGCAGATCATCTGCTGACATGAATAACTTGGCAGTGATGCTTTAAAAGTTATTAATCAGGTGATTAAATCCTCTGCAGCTTCTTCGGCAATCCAGCTATTTACAAAAGATATACTATACACACTTCTTTACAAAAAAAGAAAAGGAATCTATTGTGCACCTTTTTTTCTTTCCAAAGAGACGGTCAAATCCACAAATTGTTAAATGCTGAAGAAATCTATTGTGCACCTTTTTTTCTTCATGAAAATTTCAGGTTTTCTGTGCTTTAATATTATAGTATTTTCGTGGAAATGATCACATGGACAACCTATATAGTTGAAAAGACGTGGAAAGAATTGTGTATAAAATTGTCTTCAGTAGGCATGTCTCTTCACATTGACTAGCTTTCTTCTTTTCTTTAACAATCTAATAGTCTTTATCTTAGATCCTAACCTCTACTGTGACTCATTTCTGCATCACAAAACTGCTGTTGTTATTATGTGGCATTAAAAATAAACTAAATTTGTTCCAGTTGTTACTTCTGGCGCTTCTTAGGCTCAGAGAAATAATCAGTAATGTTTTCCACGATGGAACTTTCTAACCCCATCCCCTCCAATATTAGCCTTTTTTTATAAAAAAAAAATTCTGAAGAATGCAGCATTTGGAAATTGTCAGCTACTGTATTCTTCTATCAATGATTTATTATTCTCAATAATTAGCTTGGATTTTGAATGCCTCTGTGTTGACTACATTAATACTTAATAAGTTCTGGTCCTATTCTTTGCTTCTTATGAATGCTTTTATTTTATGTGGGAAAGAATAAATTTTGTGTATTCATGACTTGTTAGCCAACTATAGGTTGGTATTTACTTTCATTTTGAGTGACGTGTAATCCATTATAACTTTGTTCTCAGATTAGTAATTTATGTCTTGTTTTACTTTGACGTCATAATTTTGTTTTCAAATTGGTAATTCATTTACCTACTTCCTTGGCAGCTGGAGCTTGAGTCAAAAGCCCAAGTTCTGCACAAGGATATCACCAAGCATGTAAGTTTGGAATTCTCCGCCGAATCTCTGTCTGGTTGCTCTTGTGAACTGCAGGATGTTACTCATTTAGTTGCTTGTTACTGTATACAGATTGCTGCTATGTTGTTCATCACCACCCCTTGTCATGTATATTTGTTTTTGACTCTATCTCATGTTGATTTGGTTACAGTGGATTGAGAGAGAAATTGTGTTGTTACAAAAGCGCATTGATCATGCCAATGAGAAGGGATGGCGCAAACAATATCCTTTCATATATCTCAAGGCTCCGTTATTTAAATCTGCATCTTTTTATGGTTGCATGGCACAACTTGTTCTTTGAATTCAGCAATTTATTGCCTGCATAAGAGAAGCATAGTTCGTAATTGTTGTCTGCAAATTATATGTTGGTAATCATCTCCAGAAGCTCAAACTGTCATATGCACAAGTTTAGTCAGAGGGACTAGACTCAAATAACTGGAACTTAAAGTAACAAGAGAGTCATTGTTCGAGACAGTCTTTTGATCTATTTTGCACCTTCATATATCTGGACAGAATTCATGTACCTTTGTGCAAGGTAGCAATTCAAGATCATGCTATTGAGAATTAGTGTGGATTTGTTTTTGGTCAAGAAAAAGCTGGGTTGTTCAAAATCAACTGTGACATACTACCTTCCTGAATGCATTTATATGGTTCTTGATTGAAACTTATCTCCTGACTAGCAAATCCTGGAATGATACTTGCTGGGAGGTTTAGATGAAACTCCAATGCGATGTTGATCAACAGCATTCTTGTGTTTTTGCCACTTTAACTTGTCATGAAATAAGGCTTCGAACACCAAAACCTTAATATGGCTTTTTATTTTGTCAAGAGTTACTCTGTCCATCCCAAAATGTTTGACCTAGTTTTACCTATGCGGAATTTTAAGAGTAAAACATTTAGCTCTTTATTATGTTGACTCTGGTAGAAAAGAGTTATATAGTCGCCATCCTGAAAAGTTAACTTTATAGAATGGCGAGTAAAACGTTTAGCTCTTTATTATGTTTCATGTCCCAATTTATGTGGCATACTTCCCTTTCTAGTCTGTCCCAAAAAGAATGTCATACTTCCAAAGTAATTTAACGTCAAACTTCTTATTTTATCCTTAATGAGATGATTTGTAGCCACATAAGTGTGTATGGCTTGTTTCAGGCAATAGTAACAAAATTATGCCTCTGGTTGGGGCTTTGGTGTAAAAGCTAAAAGCCTGTTTGATACTTGCTGATCCTGCTGATGAACCTAACTGTCTCCTTGACCTACTTTAGTAGTTACACTGTTTGAGTTTCTGGAGAAGAAGCAGCTGTTACAGACAAAAAAGGAACAGGATAGACTCTTTTCCGTGATGCCAAAAGTTGTAGCCGAGGAATTAGAGCCTGAAGTTAAAACGGTTGACGCCCTAGAAGAAAATGCAGTGGAACAAGAAAGAGAAAATAGCCATTCACCAAAGTCAACTCCTAATGGAGCTACAGACTATTCTGGTGCAGGTGAGTTCTAACATCCACTCTGCAACAGAACTTTACAATATCTTAAAACTTATTCAGTTAAACCTTCCATTCTTTTTTACTTTCTGGAGCTTAGCCATTTTCTAGAAGCATACAGATGTAAGCTTCTTACATCCGCATATGTCAGTCTGAAAGCTTAACAAAGTTTAGACACAAACAAGTTATTTTTGAGTTGATACCCGAAACAAGAAATTTAATCTGAACAGAATTTCAGAGAGAGTTGTTTTCAATTATTTTGACCCAGGTTGGTGGTGGGGGCGGATAAATGGAGATAATTTCAGTGGAAAGGAAGGGAAGGGAATGAGAGGTTAAAATGGCTTGAGTGGGCAATGGAAAAGCCAAATTAATTGACTGTCGAACCGGCAGACAATATTTGGACGGGCTGAAGTTAGTGGTGACCTCTCTTCCCCCTCAAGAATCGGTTATTGTCTGGAAATCTTGAAATTCTGTACTACAATATCTTCCCCCTGGAGTTCAAAAAGATCCAACTGTCCTGATGGTTGAGACATATTGTCTTTCACTATTGTAATTGGCAAATAAAATGATTTTTAGTTGGGTTAGATATCAAGAGACCTATGAGGATGTCTTATTTGTTTTGAGACACCAGTTGATTTAATGTGAGCAGAGACCTCTGTCATCTAAAGTATTGTGGAGCCTTCCAGATATTTCAGATTTGGCGAGACAGGTTAGTGAAAGTGATCGAGGCGCACCTAAGCATGTGGCTAGAGGGGACTAGCAAATTTTTGACATAACAAAGGATGACTAAGATAAGCATAGCATCCATTTTGCGAACTTCGCATACTTAACCCAAATACGAAACTTCCCCATCAAGATCAGGGTTCAAACTTCAAACTTCCTCTAACTTTCAGGAGGCAGCAATAGTATTAAATCAAACAATTTGATGGAGGAAGCAGATTATTTCAAGAAAACTATTGAATTGTATGACCACCTCATCGAGAAGCTTAGCACACTTTAATTACTTAATTATGGCTTCAACACGTCCCTTCATGTTCAGCATGACTCTTTTGCTTGGGACAATCACATGTAGATTCTTTTTAATAATGGATGATGGTGAGACTTGAACCCACGACCTCTGTCTGTTCTGATACCATATTGAATTGTGTGACCACCTCATCTAAAACTTAAACTATTTCAACAAAAACCAACAATTTGTGAAGGGAACGAAGGCATCACCAAGCATTGGGGAACGCAGATGAATTTCCCAACACAAACTAGCGCGGCCTTATTGTCCAAGTCCCACTTTGAGGGGAAAAGAAAAGACCCAACAAAGGGCTTCTGGGGATGGGTTGGGAACCTGGACTGATTTTAAAAAAGAAATACTAGAGTCAAAAGAGTCCTTTTGGAAACCTACTAATTGTCATATTTTGCATAAAGCAACAGAAGGAAATTTATCCGAGCAATTTTGGCAGGTTCATCAACTGAAGACAGGGACAAAATAACTGAATAGCAGATTTGGCATATTACAAAAAGAAACAGTGCCATCATTTTTTCCCATATGAGTACTGCAAAGATATACAATACTTTGCAGCATAAAATCAAATTAAGTTTGCTGGCAACTGACGGTTCCAATACTTGTTCTCGTTGATGGTCATTCAGATTGATCTGATATGTCCAGCATTTCTTATCACATGCACAAAAATTAGAGGCGGGAAAGACGATAGGCAAGGAAAAGAAAAAAGAGAAAAGAACACCCAAGAATCCTTTTTGCCACCTCATTACACAGTAAGCAACCATCAATGTTTCTTTAAACGGTGGTCTCCGCGCCAGTTTGTGCACACATCAACTATTCCATCGGGTACCTGTTACCTCCCATCAGCAGTGGTATCGGATAACTCTGGCCACCAAGGCTACCTAGCATTTTTGTCTCTGCTGATAATTGAACCTTGGTCTCCACGGTTTTCATCCACTTCATTACCCTATTTTTAATTATATACTATGTTTTGCATAGTGTGAGGGTAGGGTTAAATCTTTTCTGTAGTTGTAAGTAGCTATTTTACGAGACAAGAGTGGGTTGCTCTAGTGGTGAGCACCCTTCACTTCCAATCAAGAGGTTGTGAGTTCGAGTCACCCCAAGAGTAAGGTGGGGAGTTCTTGGAGGGAGGGAGCCGAGGGTCTATCGGAAACAGCCTCTCTACCCTAGGGCAGGGGTAAGGTCTGCGTACACACTACCCTCCCCAGACCCCATTAGTGGAATTATACTGGGTTGTTGTTGTTATTGTTGTTGTAAGTAGCTATTTTACATTTCTATTATTCTTTTGTTATATTGTCGCCTGTAATCTGATTAAGGATCAAAATACTTTGCTCAATATCTGAAATATGAGTTCTTATACTTCTCTAAGTTTGACTGTATTTTATTTTCAGGAGATACCGTGATCCTATCCAACAGGGTTTTTGTAAGTGGAGATGCACCCGTTGTTGATGGAAATGGTAATTCCTTCTTCCTCTGGTTTTTTAAATTTAGAGCCTTTAATTTGATTCTCTTTTTTTTTGATTGAGATGGGAGTAATTTGGGTTTAAAATCCTTAGCTCTGCCAAGGCTCTTCACATTTATATTTAGTGATCAAAGGTGGCAAATATTTTGTTATGATGCATTTTTAAGGGTATAAAAAGAGAGATCTGTAAAACTCTTATTTGCTTGTCAATGGAGGAGCATGTACGCAGGAAAACCCCTTAATACTGTGAAGGCCTATTATGGAACCCAATAATTACTGGTAACTTAAGAAACGAGTAGGGTTGTTTACGGTCCTCTAATTGGTTTCTGTGTCTGATTAATGCAGATCAATATGCAGACATGACTCAAGAACAAATGGATACTACGGCTCCTGTAAGAGCTGAAAGAAGCGGAGAAATGCAGGTGGTGGCCTCTGGAGGAGACAATGTCACTCAAGAAGTACAGGTCCAGGTTACTCAAACTGAGGTAATTGAATTGAGCGATGATGATCCAGATGTTGAGGACCAAAAAGATGGAAAACAGGCTACTTATATGAACCCTGAAGTCCCAATTTGGCACTATCTGGATCCTCGGGGAAACATACAGGGTCCTTTTCCTTTGACGTTGTTGAAACGCTGGAGTGATGCTTACTACTTCGAGCCAAGCTTCCGAGTATGGATGGTTGGCCAAAGACTAGAAGAAGCTGTCTTGTTGATTGATGTGCTTCGCCATTTTTTCCCCGTCAGATGAAAGCACCACATTCAGTGTTCTATAAGAAAGTTGTATCAAAGTTGTCAATCTTGGTTGCTGAGTTAAAAAAAGAAAAGAAAAAGGTTCTTTTACTTCTTAAATGTCTTTATTCTATGATCATTGATCATTCTGAAGATACATCTTTCTCATGAAAATGGATCCTTGCAGCCATTGCTGCATTTCATGTTTCAGAGTTTTGTTTCCAGTCATTTTTACTTTGTTATTAGGTAACCTTTCAGAGTTAGCAGAAGACGAGGCTTTGTAATGAAGTGATGAACAAAAAGAACCTTTTGTTACCAATCAATAATGTGGCCTTTTAGCAGTTAGTACAACAAAATGCTCTTACAGTAATTTTTGTTACCAATTGTTTCAGCCATTGCTGCATTTCATTAATCATTTCTTTTTCTTCTCAACAGCAAAAATTACTAGTGAACGATACATACTTTAAAAGACGAACGCATATATTTGGAACTTAAATAAGAAAGAGTAAAGCACGTAAATACATTATGAAATTCTATAAAGAAGGAAATTTAGACATCTTCACGTTAATGGAGTGTGGTTATATCCATAATCATATTCTTACTGGAAAATACTAACTTATAAAAGCTAAACAAAACCAGCATAGTTGCTAAAGATATAACCCTTTATGGTGGGAATAAAACTTAAAAACCTATCATTAGGGTCTCCACCTTATCACTTGAACTAGGTGTCAAACTTTAATTAAATTATAGCTTAGTGAGGGGGAACTAATTTTTGCATTTCATTGGCCACTCTAAAAAGTCATTGACATTATTTTTCTCACATGACTACAAATTGTCTAGATTATTAAGCCATGAAATTGACATGACAAAATGATTGGACTAACCAAAAAAAGATGCAACTTTTTGGAATGCCTAAAAAGTCTTTTTGGTGACTTAATTAAATTTTGAATAAAGAAGTGGGCTATTTATTTATCCTAATTAATTAAGTGCCCGAAAAAGAGCCAACAAGAGTCTACTGAAAAGAATCTTTCTTGGTTTCATGGAATTTGGGTATTTTAGATGACAAATCACTTTCAATCCTATCTATGTCACGCTCAAATTATGATTCTCAACAAACTTAAATTTTTCTTCCTCAATAATGAAGTTCAAAAATCCTTTTTTTTTTTTTTTTTTTTTTTTTTTTTTTATGACAATCATAAAAAACCAATAT